TAGCCAATTGAGGTTGCATTTAATTTAATTCTTTCATACATACATCAATGGAAAGGAATTAAATATTGTGCCCTGATTTTCTGTTGCAAGTAGAATTTAGTATGAAATATGCTTTGAAAAATAATATTTATCAAAACCGTAGCCTACATTTAGGGGAAGATAATTATTTCCGCAAATGCAAGAGATGAAAACTCAAACGATTCTTATTTTAATTATTTTTTGTTTTCCAGTTGTTAAACATTTTAATTTTAAAATTAAAACATCAAAGAAATTTCAAACAACTTAAAAATTTGCAAATTTTCGAACTGCTGTAATTTCATAGTCCTAAGATCGTTGCATACATTGTAGCGCAAATGTAAATTTTTCCGGAAATTATTAAACTCTCGTATGCATAATATTACTCGTAAATAGAACTAGATTTTGACACAGTTCAAGTTAGTTTCGTTTAAACGTTGCCCATATTTTGGCGGAAAATTAGAAAAAAAATAGCAAATACTTGTATGTGAGTTCGCATACAACAACAAGATTGAACTTTTTTTCAACATGTAAATTAATGAACTTTTTAAATGCAACTGTACTTCCTAAACTCTTTGCCTACATTTTGGCGTGAAATGAGAAAGCAATAATATAGCATAATCATGGAAAGGAGTTGAAAGAAGTGACAACTAACAAATTCGCTTGTATACTCAGCCAAATATCAACGTTTCATTAAAATCTTAGTTTGCCTAAATATTACCTACATTTCTGTAAATGCTCAAAAGGTTTACCTTGAATTCGTAAGATTAATTTATGATTTTCCAAAAGAAAATATATTTCTTGAAGTTGTTGCCTACATTTAAGCGCAAAGTTTTGAGAAATAGAAGAAAAACCATGTTTTAAACATACATAAATAATATGCTTAGAATTGAAGTTCATTGCACTAAATGAATAATTTATTAACTTATATCTGTGTGAAGCTAAAGAAATTAAAGAAAGCTCAAATCTCTAAGAATAAAAAAAGTTAGTATTAAAAAAAGAAATACTTAGTTAAGTTTATTGAACAACAACTATATGCAGCTTTTTGGAAAAGATTTTGAATGATCTATCTTCTCAACGCTGGAACTTAATTTATGTAGTCTACATTTGGGCGCAAAAAATAAACTAAAAGAAATAAATAAATATTTGCTCCATTTTATAAGAATTTTGTCATATTTCGAAAATGTTTTTTTTTTTTTACGGCTAAAGAGAAAATAAATTGAAGAGAAGATCCTTAAACATGAGCATTTTGCAAAGGACGCACATTTCGAATAAGTTAATAGTTTTTGGGCTGCTTATTGATTTTTGATTTGAGATTTCGATTTTAAAAGGTAACAAATTCAAGCCAGTGGATGGTTTGGTAAATATGTTTGCCTACCTGCAAAAAAAAAAATTTAAATATTGTATTGACTTTCTAAATGCTGCCTATATTTCGGCACAAACATCAAATTTGGGTATCTAAGCCAATTTCCTTTAAAAATGAGTCAAATGAAGAATGCACACACTTAGGGGCTGTGAATAATATTGTTACGATTTTGCTAAATCAACCTCGATTATTTTCTGAATCCTTCGGGTACGATCTCTGGATTGTTAAATAAAACGCGCCAACTTAATTTGCAGTTTCTTTCGTTATAAAGAATTAATCTAATGTCCTTTATTTTTTCAGTAATTCACAATTCAATTATAATGCACTTTACTATTTACAATCACTAGCATCAACTTTCATAATTTACTTTATTTAAATGTAATCTCCAACGCCTTTACTTTACGACTTTTCTGATGTTAACGCCACGAGTTCACTTTGTAACTAACTTAAATTGGCAGCTGAGTGTCGCCCTTATATAGCAGTCACCTGCTCGCAGACGAAAGCGTATTAAATATTGATTAAAAGAATTCTTTAAAGCTTATATTTTTTTCATTGTAAATTTGGGTGATATTAAATCTTTAAGAACGTAAAGGGTTCTTAGATTTAATAAATTTTCTATAAAGAATTTAATTCTATTTAATGCATTTAAAAATTATGTAACAGCTTACAGTCTCTTTAAAGTCAGTTATGCCATGTCGTATCCCACAAAATGTGTACAGAAGCCAAAATTCACTCCTCTTTGTTCTCTTTTCTCAGTCAGATAAACAAGATGTACGACATTTATCATAATTATACATATATTTTTCGTTTCATCTTAGTGCAAAAAGAAAATGATATAAATAATTACAGCAAATTATAGTAGTCCTTCGAACAATTAAAATTTCACATGCCCATGTAGACATACATACCTTCATATGCACATGCATATGAGTTACATATGTATGTACCTAAAGGCCCTGTGAATATTGTCAATAGAGCCCAACCGCCGACGACACCCAACACAGTCCTCAGCCAACTGAAACATCTACATTATTACAATAATCATCTTCGTACTTACCCACCACCCAAACCGACTTGCTTTCTCTCTTCCCTCCACTCACCACCAACCATTTGCAGGCAGCAATTTTTGTCTCTTGAGTTGGCAACATTTAGGGCAATTATTGTCAGGAAATCATTACTAATTTTATTCTCGCATTGCTGCGCTTGCATTGTTGGGCGCGCAGTCGGCGGCAAACTGACGGTTGCTGAGTTGAGCGTGCCAGTACATGGGAAGAAGGGAAGGTGGGTTGTAATTGCTTATTGAAATTAAACCTTAAATATACCCTTTATAAGCTGGAATACTCGCACTTGCTTGTGAAATTGTTTGAAATTTCAATAGCTTTTAACTTCGCAATGAGTTCACCCTCAGCCACATCAATAACCTCAGCTACCAGCCTTTACCTTGCGATGCCTTATCCGCAGCTAAGCTGTTTAAAATTTAGCCAATTTTGAAATTTTCAACTTTTGTGAACTTTACAACACGTTCGGTCTCGGTCTCAGTCGCTGCCTAAGCAACACACACGTTTTCTTCTACATTTTGTGGCGATCCTTCCAGTTTTTCGGTCTTTGGCTTTTGTGCAAATTTGCTTACAAACAATTAATTTTCTTAATACTCCACCACAACAAGTGCATAGTTGAGCTTAATAGACACATACATATTTATATATGTATTGGTTTATTGGCCGCAGACACGCCTACAACACACAACCGCAACTTGGGCCAGCTCAAGCAGCAAAAGCAGCAAAAGGAGCTGTGCGCTTACACAAGTGTACTTATTTGCTCCAAGGATGGGGCTTTGGATGTACAGATAGTACAGAGTGTTCGACTATTATGTAGTCTCTCAAAATGTGCATTGTCATCTGCATATGTATGTATATGTAAACGGAAATGTTTTCCATACACGCCCATCAAATGAAATTTCACCAAGGAACTAACAAAAACAAAAGCTTACGAGGGAGAAGAGTGGGTGACTCAAGCAAAAGCACAAGGTACTTTCTTTGGCTTTTCGTCATGGTGTTACTAGGAATGGGCTCAGTTTAATCCTTGGCCCTCTTCATAGCAAAGCCGTGACAAAGTTACTCGAAGAACTTGTGTGGGAGTTGACCGGGAGTCAATTCGGAGAACTCACTCGGAAAGGCAATAAGCTGAATGGAAACTCAGTGCATTGGATTTGGTGTGCAAAACATGAGCTGCAGACAGTCAAGCGAAGGTTCGAAGACGTAAAAATAGTATGATTAACGACGAGTTTAGCAGAGTTCGATTTATGTACATGACAAAGTCAGAGTCACGCCAGTGTCGGCACAGAGTTGACTTCCACTATTTTCCTCATCTTCTGATTGCAATTTCGGACCAAGTGATAAATCTTTCTCATGCCTTTTCATGGGACTTCTCAATGAGCAAGCATCACCTTTTCACTGGTTGCCAATGTTTCTTACATACAACGAGTATCTATACAAATCTACGGACACTTGGTTGAAGTGATTGGAACTTGAAACTCTCACATAATGAATTCTAAAGTGGGACAGAGCTTATGCATGTCTGATAATCGACTCAAAGCAGTAGGACATTGTGAAAACCAATTGTGTTTCCTCTCTTGAATTCTGCTGGTGTGTGTGTTTGTTGTTGTTAAATTGGGCGCACTCGACTTAAACACAAATTGCAAATTGCATTTAATAATTGTTTTGCAACAAGACTAAACTGGGGGAGGCGGTGGTTTATTTGCTAGCCTTTCACCTTTGACTATCAGCCTTAGTGCTGAGACAGAATGCCGAAACCTGCCGAAAAGGGTTGCGTCTGTATAAACACCTGCTGCCACTCAATGCTGGTGGGTGGGGTTGCATGTCATTTGGTTGAAGCGCATCTTCTTCTTCTTCATAGTCACATTTAAAGGGGTTGAGGGAGATAGAGCTTACGAGCATATGCACTTGGCAGTGTTGGAGTTAATACAGGGTTGTTGGCTGAAGAAAAGCAGCGGAGCAGCTGACTTCCGATTGGATTCTATTGTAATGTTGGTCTGCTAGCTGGCTGGCTGACTTCCTTTCTCTTGCGTTGCTGTGGCGGCACGAGCTAACCTCATCTAGGCGTGAAAGGAGGGTTGAATGCCGTTGGCTGCTAAGTGGCCAAGTAAATTTTCACACTCCTGGTTATGGGAGAGTGTGTAAATGTGGTGTTGCTTATTGGGTTTTAGTTGCTTGGGTGACGCAATGCTGCAGTCAATCTCATTGGACATGGCAATTATTTTTGTAATGCCGGAATGTTGACCATAAGAAGGTGGCCGGAGGTGTTGTCTTTTCTCAAATATATTACAATTTTGTTTATATTTATTTCAATTTCTATTATGTAATAATTTTTTATTTTTTTTTTATTATTTTCAAAACATTTTATTTCATTTTTAATTTCAATTCATTTTTATAATTAATTTTAAATTTAATTTTAATTTTGAATTTAATCTGAATTTAATTTTATTTTAATTTTTATTTAAATTTTATTTTTTTTTTTGCTAATATTAACAATGTTTTTTTCTTTCAAATTGTTAGCCCAAAATGTAATATATCACTTCCTTTTGCCTCTTTATTTCTAGGTGTGGTTTCAAAATCGACGTGCTAAATGGCGTAAACGCGAGAAATTTATGAATCAAGATAAAAACGGATATTTGTTACCCGATCAAGGTTAGTACATGATGAATTATATTAATAATTATATTCTCATACATATATGTATGTATTTAAGATGCAACTTTGAAGAATTTAATGAAATGCTAAAATATCAAAACCTAAATAAAATAAAATAATAAAACAAATTTTAAGTCGAATTTTTACTAAAAATCTCCTAAATTTGTAAAATATTTATTTAATTAAAACTATTAAAAAAATTGTAGTATTTAAAACTGTTTTCCAAATTTTTGGATTCAAATTATTTCAGTATAAATATTTTATTAAAAAAATTTATTTTGGAAAATAATACAAAACGTTGAAATATTTAAAAATTCTGCTTTGCAAAAAAAAATAATTTCAATACTAAAAAATATCGCATAACATTTTTTTCTAAATATAACAGAAAATATTAAGATTTTCGAAAAAAATTAATATTTAATTAAATTTTTCAACAAACTTCTGACTGGAGATATTCTAAAATGGCAAATATTTAAATGGTTGTCTTAATTTTCTAAATAAAATAATATACAATATATGAAAAAAATATTTTATGAAATTTTTTGAAAACATCAATATTTAAAAATTTAACATTTTTATTTAAATAAATTCAATTAATAACTTGTTAAATAAATGTGTACTTCTAAAAATCTCCTAATATGGCAAAATGTTTTGTACTCTACCTCAATTTTTTAAATAAAATGACTTTTAAAACAAAAAATATTATTTATTATTTATCTGAAAAGCTAACATTACAATAAAAAATTCAAATTTAGCTGAGAAGCCATAGGCTGTTACCAAAAGATATGAAATTTAATTTTTCCTGCAATTTGTCTAAAATATTTAAAACATGAAAAGTATTTTGAAATAAAATAATTTGAGCATTAGAAACAAAAATCAAACACCTAAAATGTCAATCCACGAGACAAAACAATTTTAAGCAAAAAAAAATTAACATATTGTATCTTTGAATGCGTTAAGCATGAAAGCAATAAAATCGGAAATTTTTGTATTTGCTTTTGCTAATTCTTTTACTTTAGAATTTTTTCATTATTTAGTTTTTATTTTACCTAACGCAATTGTTTTCAAAACTAGAAAAATATTAAATAGATAAATTGAATTAAATTTTCATGTTCTCTGATGTTTTTGTAAAAGTTTATTCCCAACACATGTTTTTCTTGACATTCAAAAACAAAAAAATGCTTATATTATTAGAAAACGATCTGGATTAAGTCTACTTTTTTGAAATAAATTAATATTCGATAACAAGTTTAGAGAAATTCTCGATTTTGCTAATTTATTTGTATTACCTAATTTTTATGTTTAAAAAAAAATTGTTTAAAGATTTTGTAATGATTTTTGAGCAATTCAAAAAATAACAACCTTAAACATTATTATGGCGAAAAGCTTTTTTGAGCTTTTTTTCACTCAGATAATTTTGTTTTTTTAATTTTTGGAATTATTTTATGTAAAAAATATGAAATAAACAAATTTTCAGACATTTTTTTAGTGATTTTTTGAAATTCAAAAATTAAAAATGCTTTTTGGTATTTAATTTTTTTTATCTTAATTTTTACTTAACTTTTTGTGCTTTCTAGTCCTTTATGCTTGCTATTCTAATTAGTTGCTTGCTTTCGGTCACTTTCCATATATTTGATTTATGTATAAATTGACACTAATGCAATTCTAATTACCTTCATTCGTTTCATTCTTATACGAGTTTCGTGATTTTTTGACCGTTACAAATTGCTTTATTAATTTAATTACTATTTTTGAATTTCTCTATAAACAAAGTTCCTTTTTCGTCACACGTTTTGCGTTGAATTATTAACATTTTTCATATCCTTACATATTTATACCGAAATTTATATACATACAAATTTTGTAACATTCACTAATGAATTTTCTTTCATTTCTCTCTTTCCCTGTCTCCTGCAGGTTTGCCCGACTTCCCACTTGGCATACCCCTACCACATGGCCTTCCCGGTCATCCGGCCACTCTGCCACCAGAGTTCTGGCCACCACATTTCGCCTTGCATCAACATTTCAATCCTGCCCTACTACCACCCAGCCTTGTTCCACACTACAAATTGCCCAACTTCCATACACTGCTCTCCCAGTATATGGGTTTGAGTAATTTGAATGGTATTTTTGCTGCTGGCTATCCGCAGAATTTGTCATTGCATTCTGCCGCACAAGTGAGTCCGCCTTGCAGCAATAGTCCGCGTGACAGTCCACCCACCCAAACGCAGGCCGCTCAACCTACGCTCGTCTCGTTAGTACCCACGTCTATGGGGTTGAGTGCTGCGGGTGGTGGTGTAACGTACACTTCGTCTGCGGCGGCTTCGCCCAAGAGTCCAATGGCGCCGAGTGTGGCAAGCAGCGCGTCAACGCCCGTTTCGGTGGTGACCAAAAGTGAGGAATAAATTTTTGGTTGAGAACACTGCTGGCAGGTGATGGTGTTGGTGGTTAAAGTTTATTAGTCGTGCAGTCAAAGTGGAACGTGTTACGTGCGTGGAGTTGTACATACATACATACAAACACATATATGGATATGTTGTAAGCAGTTGTGCCACTGTGCATAAGTATTTTGAGTGCTAAAATATGTAATTTGTAAAAAATTCAATAAAATAGTCAAGAAATAATTTATAGTATATACGAGTAAATACATAACTGTATAGCATAACATAAGCATGTAGTTGCAGGATTGATAAGTTTTAGCAGTAGGATGTTAAGTGAACATAAAACATTTGTTTAAGTATTACTCTTCATGATTTGGGATCGAATTTATAAACTAAGGACATATTACAAAAATAAAAAAAAAATGAAAAAAATATGAAAAAATATGTATGTAGGGAAGCGGCTTTGGTATTGTAATTTTTGGAAGATTTCAACACATTGGGTGTTATGTAAGCGGAAAAGTATCTTAGATTGTTGAAAGTTTTTTAAGACTTGAGTGTATTTTATTATTTGCTCTCCTTCCGATGTGATTTATTTGTTTCATAATATGTTTAATTACGTTATTCGCTGCCAAACACGCGTTTCAAGAACAACATCATTGAAGCAGTGATAAATTGTAAAAGAGATTTGAGGATATGTTTCTTAGGTTATAGTTATTAAAAATCATTTTAGAAATTATCCACTATAAGACTACTAAATAAAATATAAAATTTAAAAATTTACACAGTAATATAAATGGTTTTTATTTTTAATTGTGGTTCTTGATTTCATTAAAATTGATTATTTGTTCGCGGTGGAAATTACACTGCGCATGAGACCCTGTTAAATTCGTGACTAGATCAAACTCCAAAATAACGAAAATGTATTTAAAAATTAATTTTTTCCATTGCGGTCGCCGCTCGGCAGAGAATGTCAAACCCTCTGACTGTATCTCTGTCAAAGAAATCAAAGCTCCTCATAAAAATCCATCAGCCGTTCGGAGGCGGCTTGGGAACAAACTGTAGAAACTTCAATTCGTTCGAAAAAACTTTAAGAAGTACAGCACAAGCCTCGCGACAAAGTCGGTCACTTTAGCGGTGCTGAAAAAAAACATAAATAAAAATCATTTAAAATAATTTTTTTCATTAAGTTCTCTCTTTATTTCAAAGTCCGAACTTGGCATGATAGGTGACACTTGCGAATGTTAGCAAACTTCGAGCCGTTTGACCAATTTATCTCTACCATAACTTGGCGAATGTTGGCTTTCAAGTGATCGGGGTTATAGGTTTATCCACCTAAAAACGGTCCGTAGCCTAGAAAAAAAAAAGTCCAACGGTCTCCAATCCCATGATCTCGACGGCCAATTGACATCGGTTGTAAGTCGGTTATAATACGGTTAGTGACAGTTTCACCGTTGTTGTTGTCAAAGAAAGAAGTACGTTACATTTGTACACTGTTCGATATTCAAGACCCGATCCCGATTAACATATGTACGGCGTTTTTAATGGAGACATGGCTTCAGTTGTTGTGTGCGCTTTATATGGATGTTGGTGTAAGTCCAAATGCATAATATGCCGTAATGTGTCCTAGCTCTGTATAACGTCGACAAATACACTTATTCGGGACTTCGGCTATACTTTTCCTTACAGTAGCGATATTTGAAGTGGAACGAGCAAAACGATAATGCAGAGCCATAGAATATTTGGAACCGATTCAGTCTCTTAAAATTTCTCTAAATCTTTACCAATTGCTTGAGGAATCGTACGCTTATATGCATTATAATTTCCTCTAAAACTCTAAACGTGGTCACGTTTGAATCACCGTTTTTTTTAGTAAATTTTAACAGTTTCAGCGCGTTGTGCGGCTGTGTTTAACTAAAGCAAAACATGTTTGGTTTGAAATGGTTACCTCTATACATACAAATAGTAGCAAAGTCTCCAGTAAAATTTGGTTTTCAATTGTTCTTTAGATACCTTGAATGTTAAGTTCAAATCGGTTTTATAAAAATTCTGGTTATATACTAGTATTTTAAGAATGGAATAATACCAGTTCACTATTTGTCAACATATTTCAAATAAAAGGAAAAATAAGTAAATTTCCACCCTGCTACCGCAAATGTTCCTACAGTAGAATGCTCCCGTCTTGAAGCCTTCATTTTCTCGGAGAACTTTCGGACATCTCCTTTGTTGATCATCGTCTCAAACTTTTTGTATTCACATATTACTGTGCCTCGCTTCTCTCCCTAACTATCAGTATCTTTTCCGCATGGCTCAATCGACAGTTATCGAAAACCTATTGTTTTTATAGCGGAAGTAAACAGATAGCCACGACGCTCCAACATCGAGCAGGAGGTTAAGTTATGTAGAAAATCGTTTGTTGGGGTTGAAACTTTTCGACTTAAAGCCGTCCTTGTGCTTTGTTTTCTTCATCAGCGATTTGTTGGAGAACTTCGTTCTGGTGTGTATTGCAAGCCTCTATACCAACACAAAACCAGCACAAAATTTCCGATCGTTGCTGTAATAGATTTCACGAGAACCCACATTGTTACCATTCTTGTCCCGTCAGACTTTAGTTTATGAGACATCAATCAGCTATGTAGAGGCACTTTCTTAAAAAAATAATGGACATTCCAGGCGCATGCCCTTAAATGATCCTTTAATCGTTTACAGTGCTCGAAATTTACATTTGAAAAAAAAGAGAGACTAGTACAAAAATAAATTTGACACTCCGCGAATTGGCACAACTAGAAAGATCCCTCAACTTAAATATATCCACTACACGTTATACAAGAACTTTTATCAGCCAAATGGCAAACCAGCGTAAAAAACACATCTGTAACTCTACCTACAAACAATTATTAGACAGTATTGCAACACCACTGAAACAAGACGGATAGTACGTCCTCTTTACAGACGGCTTCAGACAAGACGAGGTGGTCTCATTTGCAGTAACTGACTAAAAATCACTATCACATCCCACGGTCTTCTCCGAGCTACAAGGATTGATTTCGGCAACTGAAAAAGCCAGTAAATCAAGCAAGAAATATATAATATGCACTGATAGTCAATCAGTTTTTAAAGCCACACAAAGATACAATTCAAACGAAGGCGCAATTCATACAATTCAAAGCATAATTAATGGTCAGGAAAATGCTATACAACTTCCTACTAGTACATCAACATCGGCCAATAGTTGCTTCGTACGCCTAAGACATGGTCACGCTCAACTCACCCACATTCATCTCCTGTATCAAATCCACAGCCAACGTGGCAGTTTTGCAATAACTCAAACTTAACAGTGAACCATATATTACTGATTTGTCCAGCTCTCTCAAATCTAATGAACCAAATTTTCGGTAACGGTAATCCATTACAACCTATCCTACCATACTATACCCCTCCGAAATTAACATAAAACTAATTTCCACATCTTTAAACCATTTTACTACTTTTTGTTTAACTATATGACTAAACCGATAGCCCTGGTAGGTTGTGCTTACATAATTGTTTTGTAATTTTAATTATAATTAACAAAAAAAAAAAAAATAACAATAACAATAATAATATTACATCGCATCCTCGGGGAGTTCGTTTTTTCACTTTAGCCTGAGTATAATGGGATGTTTTTCGGTCAATAGATTTTAATATTTTCAATAATAATTCTCTTTCGCCTAAAGAGGTCCTGTGACTGCAAGTGCTGTTGTAACCGCTGAAGCGATTTTCGGTCGAACTCCATCTCTAATTTGTGGTTTTGCGTCTTGTTGTTTTCCCAACAAATGGGGGGACCTAAAGTCCGAACTGCCGATGATGTTTTATGAGGAGCCTTATTTTATGTCTGAAATACACTCCAAGGAGTTGATATTCCGTGGGGTATAATTAACGAATTATTGGTATCAATAAAAGTAATAATAATAATTGGACGCTTTATAACCGCTGCTCCCTTTTATTCTAAGCCGCCTCCGACTGGCTGAGGAATTTTTATGAGGAGTTTTTTTTCATGTTAGAAATAAACTCAGAGGGGACTCTTTGCTGAAGGGCGACGACTATTAGAAAAAAAAATTTTTAAAATTTCCACCCGGAATTCGTACCCTGGCCTTCAAATGCTAACCCTTCAGCTATTGAGACCAGTAATAATTGGTGTTAGTGCATCAATACTTTTTGCCACGAGGTTTGATGCTTTCCCGCTGCTTTCTTGAACCAAGTATCTTGAGTAAAATGATAAAAAGTTTTGTAACTTTTCTAGCTTTGTCCCGTCTCCTCTCGCACTAAATTCATTCGAACGGAAAGCCAAAAAATCTACTAAATAGAATTGAAGAACGGTAGGGGTATTCCACAATAGTAGTATACTCAACATATATGCGCATGTGGTATATCACACACCGTCGATATAAAACTCGTAGGTATTTAGGTCCCTTTGAGGCATACCGTCCGTAATATATGCAAGTTCTCTTGTACTTCTGTATGCGTGAAGCTGTTTTTAATCGGAAAAAAATAATTAAAAATTAAGGAAAACATTTTTCTTACATAAAATAAATTTATAAATAAAATAAATAAATAAATAAATAATAAATTTATACCTCAATGTATTTCACATGTTACAAATAAATGCATGTGTGTGTGTGCAAGAAGGGAAAAGAAAATAAAAACAAGTTTTAAATTTTCAGTTGCAATTCGCTCAAGCATCCACACATATAAAGAGATTTTCTTAGGTGAAAAGCATTAAAGCGAGGGCATGAAATAAACGGAAATAAAAAGTACATAAATAAATGTATATAATATGTATGTCTTCCCTTGAAGAATTCACGCAGCGTTGACTGCAATACTGTCCTTTTTAATTGTTGTTGTGTGGCAGAATTATTAAACATTGTTCGATAATGACGGTAGTCACTGTTTCTGGCTCAAGTGCACAGCGGGAGAATGCGAGCGCATCTCCGTATGTGAACGTCAAGGATATAAAATAAGGAATCGTGAATGTTACAAATATTAATACCGACATACATACTCGTATATACGAGTATATTTGTATATAAGAGTATTTATTGATTGTAAATGTGTAAAGAATTTAAGACATTCAAGGAAAAATTGATTGAAGACAGGCGAAAAATTAATTTATACCTTTAAAAATGCAGAAGTGCATGAATGAAGGAAAAGGAAAATTGAATTTTATATGAAAACAGTGAAATTAACGGGAGGAAGGGAGTTTCGGTTGAGCGCGCTGAAGTACGAGAAGCTATCAGATACCTCATGGCAGTTTTTTGGTTGTGAAGTCCTTCTCTTTTAGTATTATTTTTCATATATAAAAGAAAATTTTCCCGTTAAAGGTTTCGAAATTTCTAATAGATTCTGGGCAGCGTATACGGGTAGCAACGTTATTCTCCTGCCAGTAAATTAAATGAAATTTTGAAAGTGAACTCTTTATTGCTTTTCAAAATATTAGTAGATTACTTTCACTCTCAGGTGCAGTCACAAGTACCTTCACGGTGTTCAGTGGATCTTATAACATATTTTATAATGTGTTTTAATTACATCATACAGCTAACAAAAAGGAGAAACTTTTCAATCGGGTTCTACTAATACAAAAACAAAAAAAATTTCAAAGTTCTTTCCTTTGTTCATCTGTCTCAAGGTAAATTCATACCGACTTATGTTTCCTTCCTTATTATCATAAGCCCCTTTACCATTTCTTTACTGCGAGACAGCTACAACTAGAACTAATGAACTCCATGCGGTCAAAGAAGTACCAG